CTTTTACTTTGATTTGGGCTTGAATTGGGCAGCTTATGTGTCTGCTTCGAAGTCACTTGGGCCTAAGTGCTTTCGGCCTTGATATGGAGCACATTCCGGGTCATCTTGGCCGAAAAACTGAAACGTTATTGTCATGATCCCGGACTTCATGAAGAACTTGAGTGATAGCCTTGGATATCATGACACGAAGCACTCGAGCTCTAGCATGAGTAAGAGGGGGCTCGTGTCTATGGCTTGCTCGGGGAGCCTTCGCGTTGTGCACGTCAAATCCCGTTCCCGCGCCTTCGAATGATCTTGTGACGTTATGATCATCCGGCAAGAGTCTTGACGCCTGATGGGTCAAGTCTTGAACATCCTCTAGAGCTCCTTCCGTTAAGCTCCCGTCCTCGTCCAAGTTGCTAGCTCCGATGTCCTCATCACCAGTACTGGTTGATGACGTGGAGTCAGTACTGTTATAGGAAGGTGTAGCGAAGCCACTGCCGGTTGACGACATGGAGTCAGTACTGGTGGATCTGTGTGGTCGCTTCTGTAATAGTACCGGTTGACGACGTGGAGTCAGTACTATTACAGAGGAGTAGGGTGGAATCCAATACCGGTAGACGACGTGGAGTCAATATTGGATGATACCAACGGGAATGATGCACGATAGTACCGGTTGACGAATTGAGTCAGTACTACCCTGTATCAATGATGCATGGAATAATATTAGAAATAAATGAATTGTAATGAAATGTTGCATGAAATAAAAAAGGAACAATTGAAAATTATGGTAATTCTTGTGTTGAAATACTAGTTTGCACCATTCTCCATGAGAATGGGCTCTCCAGGCTCAACCCGAGCCACTCACTAAGTATTATGCTTAGCCCTTCGTTGTTGAATTTTTCAAATCCCGAAGAGCACGAGTAGCGCACTTTGGACAGCGACGACTTTGTGAAGGCAGCAGTATGTACGGATAAATAATTCTCTTTTTGTACGTTTTGGATCATGGAACAAGGTTCCGCGTGGAAACGGCTGTGCTTAATTATGTTTTTGGACATGTGTTGTTTTTAAAAGACGTGTGATGTTTTTATTCCGCTGCGTGTTTGTATGGAAGAACGATTTTTTTTTAAATTTCAGTACTTTTGATTTTATTATATTTTATTGGTTTCGTCCATATGGCATGTCCCGTTCACGGGATACGGGATTCGGGTGTCACAGCTTGGCTCCCCATGACTCCAAAAAGAGAAATAATCGCATATGAATATTATGTTATAGTATTAAAGAAATGAGGAGGAGATCATACAATACAGATAGCCGAAAACGAAAGGTTGTTTTCATTGGGTTGGCCTGAGTACTAGTACCTAGGGGTGGCCATTTCGGTTATTAACCGAATAACCGAGCCGAACCGAATCGAATAAGACATAACCGTACACTACAAAAAAATCTTCGAATTCCAATGGATTTTCCAACGGATTTTCAACGGTTTTCAACGGCGTTTCAACGACGATTTCCGTTACAATTCCGTTGAAAATTTCCAACGGGTATCCGTTGGAAACACCCGTTGGAAATTTTTAACGGAATTTTCAACGTATTCAATTGAAAAATTGGGTTGGAAATTTCCAACGGTATTTCCAACGGATATCCGTTGGAAATTTTCAACGGATTAACGTTGGAAAAATCGGTTGCAAATTTTTAACGGAGTTCCAACGGATGTTTGTTAGAAAACAATTCCAACGGATGCCGGTTGGAAATTTTTTTGGAAATTTTTAAAAAACATTCCAACGGATGTCGGTTGGAATTTTTTAAAAAAAAATTCCAACCGAATTCCAACGGATGCCGGTTGGAAATTTTTTTGAAAATTTTAAAAAAAATTCCAACGGATATCGGTTGGAAATTTGGATTTTAATTGAAAAATCAATTGA